AGAGAGAATTAGAGAAAGTGTGTGTGAGTGAGAGAGACAATGAGAAAGAGAAAGTGAAAGTGAGTGAGTGAGTAAGAGGCAAAAAAGAGAGAGAAAGAGCAAAAGAGAGACAGAGAAAAGGAGAGGAAAGAGAGAGAAAGAGAGAGAGAGAAAGAGAGAGAAAGAGACAAAGTGAGACACAGACAGAATTAGAGAGAGAGGGAGATGGAATTAGAAAAAGTGTGTGAGAAAGAGACAATGAGAAAGAGAGAGAAAGAGAAAGTGAGAAAGAGAGTGAGTGAGTGAGAGAGAAAGAGACAGAAAAAGAGAGACAGAGAAAGGGAGAGGAAAGAGAGAGAAAGAAAGAGAGAGAGAGAAAGAAAGAAAGAGACAAAGTGAGAGAGAGAGACACAGAGATAATGAGAGAGAGAGAGGGAATTAGAAAAATTGAGAAAAAGAGAGAGTGAGAAAGAGAGTGAGTGAGAGAGAAAGAGACAGAAAAAGAGAGACAGAAAGAGCAAAAGAGAGAGAAAGAGAGAGGAAAGAGAGACAAAGAGAGAAAAAAGAGAAAGACAAAAAGAGACAAAACGAGAGAGAGACACAGAGAGAATGAGAGAGAGGGAGTGGGGGAGAGATATAGAGAGGGAGAGACCTTGTTCTTCCTTTGCTATAATTTGCAAGGACAGGGAATGGAAGGGACTTATTATGAGGAGAAGCCATTCCTCTGTTGCTTCTTCCTTGTGTTTCCTGCCAAATGTATATTAGCCTCTTTGTAACAGTTTGGCCGAAAATGGTTATGGCCCACTGTAAATTTTCAGGTGTCAAGAAGTTCAGGAGAGGTCACTTGAAGAAGGAAGGTAAATGTTCTCAGTTTTGCTCTTTGGAGGAAAAAAACCCCTCTTTATTAGTTTATTGGTGACTTTATTTGTTAGAGAGATCCATCAAGAGTCAAGAGTAAAGGGGGGAAGATGTGGAAGGTTTATGAATGAGTCTCGGAGCTTTTAAGATGTTTAAGCATTCCAGCTGGGGAATTCTGGGAGTTGAAGTCCACTTTCCTTAGAGTCATCAAAACAGAGAAACACTGGTCTAAATTGCTGAATTTCACAGTTCTGGGTGAGAATATAGCTAAATTCATTCTGCTACTTTCTTGAGTCTACTTTTGAAAAAGATCTGTGTCTTTCTGAAAAATAAGTATAATGTCTTCTGTCTCTACACATAAACCAACTCTAAATTATCCATCAGATCAAAGAGAACTCGTACCTTGCACTTCAAGGTACTGGTTCTCATCTTTAAGGCGCTCCATGGCTTAGGGCCCGGGTATTTACGAGACTACCTTCTGCCATCGATAACCTCCCACCGGCCAATACGCTCTCACAGAGAGGGCCTCCTCAGGGTGCCATTGGTCAAGCAATGTCAACTGACGACCCCCAGGGGGAGAGCCTTCTCTGTGGGGGCACCCGCCCTCTGGAACGAGCTACCCCTAGGAATACGACTGATCCCGGACCTCCGTACTTTCCGCTGAGCTTTGAAGACCTTCTTATTTCAGCAAGCTGGGCTGGCTTAAAATTTTAATGGGTTATTTTATGGGTAAAGGGTTTTAAAATTTGGGGAAGCCAAACTGATCTAATTCTGTTTTAATTTATTTTAATTTTTATATTGTATGCATTTTAATCTTGGCTGTTTACCGCCCTGAGTCCTTCGGGAGAAAGGCGGTATACAAATTTAATAAATCTAATATAATCTAATCTTTTATGCAGAATTCTAATAGCAATCTCTTTCAGAACAGTTATATCTGCATTGTCCATTTTCAATCTTGTGTTAAAATGCGCAGGACTTGATCTCTTGTCTTTATTCTAATAAAAGGCAACAAAATATATCTAGGGACCTTCCTCATCCTGGTGAATCTGAGCATGAATTTCCTCAGCATAGCTGGCTGAGGAATTCTGGGAGTTGAAGTCCACCCAACTTAAATTTGCTAAAGTTGAAAAACACTGTTTTAAGTGGTGCGTAACACTCAAAGGTGGTCTCACTCAAAGGTGGTTAAAGATAGGACAAACTATACATTTTTATTTTATTGTTCAGCATAGAACAACACCCAGGTCTGGAAATAAGGATCTCACACCTCAACAATTTCCAGGTAGGTATATGGACTACAATTCCCAGAATTCCACAGCCAACCCAACCGAACCGGCTGAATACCACCTCTGTTTACGACCTTCTTTGCCACAGTTGTTAGGTGAACCACTGCGACTGCTAAATTAGTAACGTGGTTGTTAAGTGAATCTGGCTTCCCCTTTAGTTCACATGACCCCAGGACACTGCAACAATCCTAGCATCCAAATTCTGCAAGTGTTAACAACGTCCAAATTTTGATTGTGTAACAAGCAGTGTGAACAACAGTCACTTTTGTCAATGCCATTATAACTCTGAACGGTCACTAAACAAACAGCCATAAGTCGAGGGTTACCTATACTATCGCTGCATTTCAACCAGAGATTAAATCAACTCTCAGGGTAAGTAATAAACGGATAAATAAATGCTATATGGCATCCCTTAATGACTTTGCTTTAATAAGAACTAGACTTTTAATTAACCTGCCAAGACAAATTACAGCCAATGGCTCTCAGGTAGTTATTGAATACAGCTGAGACTCAGCACTAAAGCTGCTTGGGGAAGAAGGAGAAATGTCACTCTCACAACGAAGTATCGTTTGGCAATCTGGGGGAAAAAAAAATTAGACCATTAAACAATCCCCGTGGTTGGGAACTTTGTGTAAATTTTGATAGAAAAGTCTGTGTATTACAGCAAGGTGGATTAGCAGTTATTCAACATAGTTAGTTGTCTCGAAATATAAAGTCGTTGTAGAGAGGATTAACCTATGTGATTTTAATGAGAGCCTCTCCTGCTATTTAGTAATGTTTTGTTTTAAAAGAAATAAGCTATTTAAATTTTAATTAAAAAAAAAAAATAGAAAGAAGCTATATCAAAATGAACACAATAATCAAATGAGGCTTCTTCCAATAACAACATGCTCAGGTTTCAATCCAGTGAAAAAGAAAATTGACCACTGAGAGTAGTGGCCAAACCATGATATATTGCAACTCTTAAGAAATTCTTGGATTAAGAGTGAATTCCTAGATAGCCAAAAGAAGACGCCGTATTTCAATGTCATCCATTCCAAGAACAGTATTTGATCAATCCAATTGCAAGCTTAACCCTTCAAACTGAAAAATGTCCGACACGGATAGATTTATTGGGAAGAGAAGGACGGTGTGGAGATGCAGCCATTTTGAAAATGCAGTCCATATTATTTGGCATTAAATATTCAGTTAAGATACTTCTTTTCATCCCCCAACATCCAACCAAAAAATAAGAACAAATTTCCTGTCAGTGAGAACAATTAATCAGCTTCCCTCCAGAAACTGTGGATGCTCCATCACTGGAGGGTTTCAAGAAGAGATTGGACAGCCATTTCTATGAAGTGGTATAGCGTTTCCGGCTTCAGAAGTGGGTTGGACTAGAAGACCTCTAAGCTCTCTTCCAACCTGCTATTCTATGTTAATTAGCTATAGTTCTCCTTAGTTGTGTGGTTATTTCAAGGGATGAAGAGAGCAAACATTCTTTTGTGGATCCAGAGTTAGGATCTGGTTCATTCCGCCGTGCCCTTAAAACCCATTTTTTCCAGCAAGCCGGGCTGGCTTAAGAAGAAATTTTTAAATGTTTTAATTGGTTGTGATTTTTAATTTTTGGGCCAAATTTATATATATTTTAATTGTTTTTTAATATTTGTATTGCATGTTTTTAATTCTGGCTGTACACCGCCCTGAGTCCTCAGAGAGAAGGGTGGTATAGAAATTGGAAATAAAAAATAAAATAAATTGAGCCAGCTGAAAATCATAGACGCGGGGTCAGAGGTGGGTTTCAGCAGGTTCTGACCAGTTCTGGAGAACTGGTAGCAGAAATTTTGAGTAGTTTGGAGAACCGGCAGTAAAAATTCTGACTGGGCCCGCCCCCATCTATTTTCTGCCTCCCGAGTCCCAGCTGATCAGGAGGAAATAGGGATTTTGTGGTAACTTTCCCCTGGATTGGGGTGAGAATGAAGATTTTACAGTATCCTTCCCCTGCCACGCCCACCAAGCCATGCCACGCCCACCAAGCCACACCCACAGAACCAGTAGTAAAAAATTTTGAAACACACCACTGCGCGGGATCCTTGGTACTCTCTGATGCCCTTAATTTTTCCCATTTCTCCAATTCTATATTGTAGCCATAATTTTGGGGAAAAATTATGGGAAATAAACATTAAATTGACTCTATCAACGGCATTCAAGGAAAACCAGTTAAAAATGTTCTACAGATGGCATTTTACACCAGGACAGCTTGCTAAAATGTTTCCTAACAACTCTCCAAATTGTTGGAAATGTAAAAAAAAGTCCCCGGAACATATTACCATCTCTGGTGGACATGTCCTAAGGCGAAAAAATATTGAGCTAAAATTAGAAGTTGGATAGAAGAGATAATTGGTTACAATGTGGACTTGAAACCAGAGATGTTTTTACAGTAAAGAAATTAGATATTTGATTTTGCATATAATTACAGCGGCAAGGATAGTCTATGCATAGTCCTGGAAAAATGAAAAGGTACCAAGAGAAGGAAGAAATAATTAAGAAAATCCTGGACTGTGCAGATAAATGGATAAATTAACGAAATAAATTAAAAAAAAGGAAGATACAGAATATTATCCAGTATGGACTAAGTGGTACGATTGGCTCGAGATTAGGGAAAGTAAAAATGAATAAATGATGTGACAAATGTGTAAAATACTATAAATGAATAAAACTAGAAATAAAGGGACGATAAAGATAAAGATAATAAAGGATGAGAAAAATGGGCAATGTAGAAAGTAAGAGGAACGAAGCTGATATATAAAAAGAAACACAGATTGTGTGTTTGTGTTTTGTATGTTGTGTTGTGCTGTTGTAAAATTAATTAAAATAAATAAATAAATAAGATGCCCTTACCAACAGTGGTGGTGAGAAAGGAGACTAACTCGGATTCTTTTCCATCGTTGTAAAAAGCCAGGTGCCACATTCCAGAATCCAAATACTGAATGAATCCCGTCTCATGGCTGGCCGGTGGCACAAAGCTCTTTTGCTGCCGTTGTGGTCCTTCCAGATTCCTAGCTTCCTGACTCAGAAGCCTCCGTCCGTCCAGCAGCTCGACAAAGTCAAACTGAAAAACACACACAAATGGGAAGAACACATGTGTTGAAATAGAGACCCACCCAAATAATTTCAGGTCCTGGTTACAGATAGTCCTTGACTTAACAATAATTCGATTAGTAACCATCTGGGGTGGGTTCTACTTACCTTTACTACCAGTTTGCATCGTGGCAAAAAAAAAACAAAAACCCCCGCCAACCCTGGAATTTACTTCTGGTTTTCAGCCAAATTGGCCCATAGTAAACAATGGATTTACTTAATGACTATCATGTTCACTTAATGACTGTATGTGTTAAACAACCCCCGTTCGTTCAATGATGGCTGCAACAGACCTATAATCAGGTAGGTTACATGGGTTGACCCGCTTTACGACTTTACGATCCGGACTGACTGAATCCCACCTGTTGTGGTCCGCCAGCAGCCTGAGGAGCTGGCAAAAGAGTCGGACAGCGATGAGGTTGAGGTAGAACAGGGTCCAGTCCTGGAGGCTGGGGAAGGCCCGGATGAGGACTCTGCGTCAGAGGCAGAGATGGGGCCAGGGCCATCGGGGAATGATGTGCAGACTCCGGAGCCTCCAGAGGCTGACAACAGAGAGGCAGAGGAACAGGAGGAGCCTGTTCCTAGTGCACGTATGAGAAGAGCTGCCAGAAGGCAAGAGCAGCTACAGCAAAGAGGATGACTCAGGAGTAAGGCCAGGAGATGATTGGCCCCTTCCATAAGGCTTAAAAGACCATTAACAGTTCTGGGGCTCTTTATCGGAAAACAACGTTGATAGACTTGTTCTTGTCTTGCTGCACTTATCCCTGGTCAGCGTCTTCTGCTTCTGAACTTTTGCCAAAAAAAGCCTTTGGCTGTTTGCCTAATTATACCAAGGTTGGTGATTAGACTGAAGAATTTGTTTTAATTTAGTTTGGACTACACTGAGAATGAGTTAATTCTCAGCTGTTCTAATAAAGTCTGTTTGTTTTGGAACTGTTTGCGTCTAATACTACCTACTTGGGCCTGTGTCACACCACCACCCCTGGTTGTAAGTCAAGGACTACCTGTATTGCGTCCTACGTTCAAAGCACGAGCAGTAATCATTTTAGTTTTATTTGCATTGGTCAGATCTCCTCAGAATACGCCTCACCTGGGTGTGCGAAGGCGGGAGTCCTTTTCGTCCATAAATCCCAACCAGAGCTGATTTCCCCAACGAAACATTAAATTTCAAATGTACAGGATGGTCGATGAACACCTGAGATCTCCAAAATATGCTGGGAGGGATCTTCTGTGTAACCCGTCGGCCGACATCGATCTCCCCGGTGTCTATAAAACTGTCTTCGGGAAAAAACGTACTGGGCTTTCCTGCTGAAATATAGGAAAATAAAAATAAAATCTTAGGTTAAATGAAGGTTCTCTTAATTGAAAAATTATCTCCTCTTTGGACAATCAAGACATTATTTTTCCCCCCACTCCAATCTGAGAGGCGGGAACCACAAATTTCCAATCTTCTATTCCTTTGGAATTTTTATTATCAAGATTAATTTTTTAAAAATGTTTCGTACTAATTTTTTTTTTTGTTAAGGAACTTTCCTCTGCTGTCATTTTGATGGTCCTTTTTTCAGGAACGAGGAAGGTAGAAATATGTATTAAGGCTCTCTTCAATTGATTGTTACTGCTTTTATTATTATTGTTATTGTTATTGTTATTATTATTTACTTTTATTCACTGAGCATTTAAAAATGTATCACAAATATCATTGACTTATTATTATTATTTACTTTATTCATTAAACATGAAACTCAGTCAACTGAACATTAAAAAATGCATCGTAAATACTATTATTATTATTATTATTATTATTATTATTATTATTATTATTATTATTGATGTCTCATAGTCTTTATCTAGGAAAATATCTTTATATCTTTTCAGAAAGAAAAATAGAAAAGAACCTATTCAGACAATTACAGTTAAATGTCTTTCCTTCTGTGTGTGTATCTGTCTGTGGTTATTGAAAAAGTAGGAAAATGTGAAATTAAAAACCAGAAAGGAGAGGGACACACAGATAAAGTTAATAGTTAAAACCTTTCTTTGTAACCCTTTGCAGCCTTTGAATCTTCTCATTATTAAATTTTCCTCCCAAATTTAAAACAGTGTTTTGAAGAGTTTAAGGCTACTTTACTCTTCTCTTACAACCACTCTCTATCTACACTACCACTGCTGGTGTAGTAACAGAAAAGCCACATCATCACTGTGGGTGTTTTTAATTCATTTTAATCTCTTATAATTTAATCTGGTTCTGAATTTATAATCGTTTTTAATTCCATGTTTTATTATGTTGCAAGCTGCTCAGTGTCTTGTAAATTTGATACAGGTAGTCCTCGACATATGACCACAACGGGGCCCAAAATTTCTGTGGCTGAGGGAGAAAGTTGTTAAGAGCCCCAATTTACGGCCTTTCTTGCCACAGGTGTTAAGTGAATCACTTCGGTTGTTAAATTAGTAACACAGTTGTTAAGTGAATCTGGCTTCCCTGTTGATTTTGCTGAGGACACTGCAACCGTCATAAATATGAGTCAGTTGCCATGCATTTGAATTTTAATCACGTGACTATGGGAATGCTGCAGTGGTCATAAGTCTGAAAAAGGGTTATGAATCACTTTTTTTCGGTGTCGTTGTAACTTCAAACAGTCACTATATGAACTGTTATAAGTTGAGGACTACCTGCAAGTAAAAATAAATCTGTTTGTCTCCCCACTGAGAGTACTAGGCCTCACTGGGCAATTTTGGAATCCTCCTTTTTAAAATTATTCATGCATTTCCGCAATTTGGTGAGTTTTTCTGATATTTGCTACAGCTTTGCACTTATCTATTAGTAGATGTCTATTTTTGAGTTCATAGGGATGGCCATTTATCCCTGAATTTCAGAGATACAGAAAGGTATCCTAAACATCTAAATCGGTATTTCTCAACCATGGCAACTTCAAGAGGAGTGGACTTCAACTCCCAGAATTCCCCATCCATCCATCCATCCATCCATCCATCCATCCATCCATCCATCCATGTTGGTAGGGGAATTCTGGGAATTGAAGTCCACACCACTTCACCACCAAACTAGAACTAAGGAGAAATTTCTTGACAATTAAGGTTATTAATTAATGAATGAACAATTAATCAGTGAAACAACTTGCCTCCAGAAGTTGTAAATGCTCCAACACTGGAAGTTTTTAAGAAGATGTTGGATAACCATTTGTCTGAAATGGTGTAGGGTTTCCTGCCTAAGCTGGGGGTTGGACTAGAAGACCTCCAAGGTCCCTTCCAACTCTGTTATTCTATTCTATTCTATTCTATTCTATTCTATTCTATTCTATTCTATTCTATTCTATTCTATTCCTATTTCTATATTCTATTCTATTCTTATTCTATTCCTATTCTATTCTATTCTATTCCTATATTCTATTCTATTCTACTCTATTCTATTTCTATATAAAACTCTATTCTACTCTACTCTACTCTATTCCATTCCATTCTTATCCTATTCTATCCTATCCCCATATTCTATTCTATTCTATTCTATTCTATTCTATTCTATTCTATTCTATTCTATTCTATTCTATTCTATTCTATTCATTCTATTCTATTCCTATTCCTATTCCTATTCCTATTCCTATTCTATTCTATATTCCATTCCATTCCACACCAAGGTTGAGGAAAACCGCTCTAAACTGGTGCCAAGTTGGAGTCAGCCTGCCATTTTCTTCCCTTCCTTTTTGAAACATAAACGGAAATGGTATTTGGAGAATAAAGAATTAAAATGTTCTCCCTCCAGCCGCAGTCTTTTTTTATGCAGCCAAATTCCCTGACAATACTCTGTTTAATGGCAAGAATTTCGATGGGGAGTAGATTCTTGCAGCCCTAACGTATTTTTTTTAAAAATATTCCAGACAGTAAAAGTCTACTTAAAACTTAAGTGATTCCATCTGTTAGGAAGTTAACACAAATCCCACCGACCCACCCCCCACCCCCGTGGACAGATTAACTGCTTTGGTGTTAAGTTTATTTAAAATATGTGTGGTATTTGCGGATATGTGTACATCCAACTGAAAGAGATAGCTTTCTGTACAGAGAGTGGAATTTGCACAGGCAACCATTGAAAACTCTGCTCCAAAAACATCTAATAATGGAAGTCTCATTTCACCCACACTAAAATAAGCAATTTTTAAAATTCACCTTTCAAACATGTAAGACTCAGAAATCAAGTCCTCAGCTTTATAGCAGTTCGTTCAGTGAACATTTGAAGTGGCAACATCACTGAAAAAAGTGACTTATGGCTGTTTTTTCCCCCACACTTACCGCCGTTGCAGCATCCCCATAGTCACGTGATCAAAATTCAAAAGCTTGGCAACTGACTTGTACTTATGACAGTTGTAATGGATATAATTGGGATATTTCTGTACATGTGATTGCTATCTACATTTGTAGATGCAATTATTAAATTTGCGGATGACACAAGAGTGGTGGGGTTCGTTAAGAAGAACAATGAGTCTGCTTACAGGAAGGAAGTACAAGGGCTGACATTGTGGTGTAATGAAAATAATCTCACACTTAACACCACAAAAACTAAAGAATTTATAATTGACTTCAGGAGGAAGAGAGATGTGCGTTTACCATTGTACATAAATGGTGAGGAGATGGAGAGGGTGGGTAGTTTTAAATTTCTGGGCATTTATATCTCAAAGGACCTCTCATGGACTATGAATGCTAACATACTTGTGAAGAAGAGGCTGTACTTCCTGAGAATGCTCGGGAAGATAAATCTATCTCAGCATCTACTTCTGTCCTTCTATCGCAGCACCATTGAGAGTGTCCTGACAAACGGCATTCTTGCATGGTATGGGAACAGCTCTGTAGTAGACATAAAAGCTCTGCAGAGAATCATTAAAACTGCCCAGAATATCATCGGACTCCAGCTATCAGCCCTGGATGACATCTTCGAATCTCGCTGTTTGAGAAAGTTGCATAACATTCTCCGAGACTCTTCCCATCCTGCTTGCAATCTTTTTGGACTGTTGCCTTCTGGCAGAAGATACAGAACAATTAAAACTCGGACCACACGTTTTCCGAATAGTTTTTATCCCAGAGCTATCAGTGCACTCAACAATGAACTAAAGGGAGCTGTTGGACAGCATTACTTGGTCTGTTGTGTGGATGTTTGGGTGGTTTAGGGGTGGGGAATTGTGGTGGGTGGGAGTGTGTTTGGGGATTGTTATGTGTGTTGGACCTGGTCTTTGGGTGTTAAGTGAATTTCGTTGTATGAGTATACTGTGTATACAAGTACAATGACAATAAAGTTATTTATTTTATTTATTTTACATAAAGTTCTGAAGTCACAATTGATTTCTACACATTTTAATTGTGACTCAGAATATTTGGAGAACTGAGAACAGTTTTTTTAAAAAAGAAAAATATCAGCTAGATTATCAGCATGGCACACAAAGGTTCTTAATTTTTGCAAACTTTTTTACTTTGATGGGGAAAAATTGTGCTGCTTTCGTAGCAATCCTGAGTTTTATTGTGGTATACAATGGTTAGCTTTAAGGAAAGACAGGATTTTACCTCTGACAAGTTTTTCCTGAGATACTGTGGTAGATTGTCAAGCTAATTTTCCTAAACAAAGGATGATTTTACACGGCTTTGAATAGTTACGTTCAACTAGTAGCAACGTTTTTTGGCTTCCTGAGAAGCTGGATAAATTTTTAGAAAGCATGGAGTATTCTTGGATGGTAAAGGATAAGAATGAACAACATTTACACAAAAGTTAAATAATTGTGCTTGCTTTTCCTTCTACAGGTAGTCCTCGACTTATGACCACAACTGGGAGTGGAATTTCAGTTCAATCGAAAGTAGAAGTTGTCGTAAATCAACTTTCCACGTGACTGGGCCTGATTTTATGAACATTTTTACAACGGCTGTAAAGCGAGTCACTGCCGTCATGAAGCGAATCAGGTGGCCGTTAAGCAAATCCAGCTTCCCCAATGCAAAGTCACTGGGGAAGCCGGCAGGAAACGTCACAAATCGTGATCAGGTGATGAATCGCTTAATGACCATGGCAAAAAAAAAAAGGCTTGTAAAATCGGGTGTGTGGTCACATTTAAGTCCTCGTTTAATGACTGCACCACTTAATGTCAAATTTTCTGATCCCAACGGTGATCGTAAGTGGAGGATCACCTGTAGCTTTTTCCACCTGATTTTCAAAATGGAATAATTCAGAATCTGATCTCAATTTAGCGAATTACGTTGAATCTTGTGGTTTCAGGGAGCTTTAAAAAAAAAACATATTTTGGCGTGAGGCCTGCATTTACCAACAAAATCACCATGGAAGGCAACAACAACGAAGCGTAATTAAACAAGAAACATCAACATTTAGTATCCCTGTGGAGGGAGAAAACAAGGAGCGTTAAAAACAAACTTATTTTAAATGTTCAACACATGTCAGTGAAGACAGGAGGATTTTGGAAGAACACACAGTAAACAAACACACACGAAAGAGATATTTTCCACACACACCCCTTGATGGATGGCTCTGGACTGGATTGTGGTGGTGTGATAATGCACGTTTTGGGTCAGTGTTGGAAGAAAGGAGAGATGACGAATGTGAGTGGGTACGCGCTAGAAAATTCTGGAATGAAGTGGCAACTGGAGGGGAAGGCCATGATGTTATGAGGGTGGTGAGACACACAACAAGGAAAACACACCAACCGTACCTTCGCCGGCTCCTTTGCCTTTCCTCTCAGGTAACTCTAACCCTGTGCCCCCTGAGGAATACAAGGAGACGTCTGTTGGCACTGGCCAACTGCCGGCTGTGTCTTCCGTGATCTCAAACATCTGCCCTTCCATCGGCTGCAGGTGCCAGTTTAGGCCAAACAGGTGCATGGCTGCGGTGAGCAATGAGAGAAGTCAACTTTGGGGGGTGGGGGAGATATTTTCTTCACGGAGAAGAATTGTGAAATGTCAAAGAAACAAAAAACAAAAAACAGGGCCGAGGTCAGACGTTCGATCCCTCAGGATTCCATAATCAGCATTAGGATTTCTCTCGGAAGCATTTCAAGGCATTTGATTGGATAGATAAAAGGTGGTTTGTATCTAGGAGAACATCCCTCAAGTTGGGTCTCCAGATGAGGTGGGCGTTCCACCTCTAGAATTCGTCCCTATTTGGGCCAAAATCTGGAGGAGGGTTCAAGGTAATGCAGTTCCAACTCATTAGAGTACAACCAGTGGGCTTTATTGATAAGACTAGGTGCAGAGAGATCTAGATTTTGGTCCATCCTCCATCAGGGAAGCCAACAATGTCATTTAGAGCCATTCATTCTTGATCAACCCAACGGCCACTGTGACTTAGAGGCGAGTAGATTGGATTCTATTTGACAATCAGCTATGGGTCCCCCCCAAGTGACCTTGGACCAATCACTCTCTCTCTCTGCCCAACCTAACTCACCAGAGAGTTGAGGGAAAAGCAGAAAGAAGGGACACTGAGTTTAATTCATTGCCTTACTCTCCAGAATTAAAAGGTGGGATATCAACCAACTAACCAACCCAACCAACCAACCAATCCAACCAACCAATAAACCCAACTAACCCAACCAACCAACCCACCCACCCAATCAAGCAACCCAACCAACCAACTAACCAATCAACCCAACCAACCAACCAACCCACCCAATCAATCAACCCAACCAACCAACCAACCAACCAACCCAATCAAACCAACCAACCAACCAATCACAGATTATGAAAGTCTAGTCAGGGATGTCCAACCTTGGCAATTTGTGGACTTCAGCTGGGGAATTCTGGGTATTGAAGTCCACAAGTCCACAAGTTGCCAAGGTTGGACACCCCTGGTCTAGCCTATCATCCTTCAGTAAATACAGGAAGGCTGAGATCCTATAAGAATAGCAGATGCTATGAGTAGTGCCTACTCTGTAGTCCTCAATTTATGACCACACCTGAGCCCAAAATTTCTGTTGCTAAGTGAAACATCTGTTAAGTGAATCTTGCTCCATTTTACGACCTCTTTTGCCACAGTTGTTAAGTGAACCACTGCTGTTTTTAAGTTAGTAACCTGGTTGTTAAGTGAATCTAGCTTCCCCATTGATTTTGCTTGTCAGACGGTTGCAAAAGTTAATCACGTGACCCCGGGATTCTGCAGCCGTCATAAGTTAGTTAGTTGTCAAGCATCTGAATTTTAATCACATGATCATGGGGCATGCTGCAATGGTCGTATGTGTGAAAAACAGTCGTAAGTCACTTTTTTCAGTGCCGTTGGAACTTTGAATGGTCACTAAATGAACTGTTGTAAGTTGAGGACTGTAAAGTCCCCAATGAGTCAACCTTTAAGGACATATCTATGATCTTTTGCCAACAATGGGCTAATGGTTTGACTGTCCTCTTCTTTGTGGGATATTTTTTGATTGGCCCATCTAATTTACAAATCTGAGATTTTCTAACCCACCTCGGAGTAGGCACTACCCATAGCATCTGCTGTTCTTGTAGGATCTCAAGCTTCCTGTATTACTGAGGTCTATCTAAAGAGGCCCTCATTTACCAAGACAGGTTGTATGAAGAGAAATGGGGTGCACACACTCAGAAAATGGGGAACTGGGGCTGAACATCGTGGTGCCTTGCCTCACTACTCTTCCTTGCCCCCTCTTTCACTTCTTCTGGTGCTAAACAGCCCCAACCTACTTAATGTTTTCAAGAGGTTGGCTAGATCAGGGATCCCCAACCCTTCGGACCTCAGGGACCACTAAATTAATAATTTTAGATCCCACAGACCACTAATACGATCTGCCTAATGACCGGCTAGGTGGGCATGGCTAGGTGGTCATGTGACTGGTTGGGCGTGGTCCACTTGATGTCACTCATATCGAGGGGTGCCTCGATGGCCTCTACTCGCTCCTCCCCTCCCAGCCACTCCTGGCCTCCCCATCTGGGCTCCTTAGGGCCCCAACAGGAAGCAGTTGCTGGAGCTAAGCAGCCACCACGAGAAAGAGTTGGCAAAAGAGCTCAGTTCAGATTGGATCTGGCCGAGAAGGAGGCTCAGCAGAAGCACCTCACTGAGGACTAGGAGCATAGGCTTTCCAAGCAGAGGGAAGACTTGCGGGAGTGCAAGGCCAGATATCGGCGCCTGGTGGCTCAGCGGGCTGAGATGCCAGTTCCAGGCCATGATGCAGTCCCACTGGAACGAGGCCCTCGGCTCTTCGCCACCAGCGGCACTTCCCTCCAGCCTTCGCCCAAAGCCCCACACCAGGAGGCCGAAACAGACCCCAAGTTGGAATTTCTGGCCCCCTCTGACCCACACAAAAAGACCCCGAAGGGGGAGACTCTCTACAGCAACACAAATGTTCATTGTGTTCATGTATCCGGCCCAGGGGCCGTAGTTTGAGGACCCCTGATTTAGTGCAATATACAAAATATGCAAATAATTTTTTCTGTGGACCGCCAAAATTTTCTCACGGACCACCAGTGGTCCACAGACCATCAGTTGGCGACTTTTGGGCTAGATGCCTTCACCTTCGGTGAAGCTGAGAGAAGCAGCGATGAAATGTCCCTCAAGCACGGACTGCCTTACAAACACCACAAGAGAAAGCGTCAAATGTCAGGAATAATGCAATAATAAATTATGTAATAGCAGAACTACAGCTAGTATTCCAGCTCCTACGATTAACAAGGGATGGGATGAGGCCTCCTGCACGAGGGATCGAGCAAAGACAAACAAACAGTGCTAACGCTCGTGCACAGTGTTTTCTTTCCACGTTAAATTAACCCAGCAAAATGTGACAAGTTTAAATACGCCAACAACCGGGGTAACAAGCAGCAGGAAAGCTCAGGCGTAATTGGGCGACGCGGGCAGGAGGGAAAAGCTTTTATTAACTACAAGGTCGACTTCCCAACTTTGTTTTCCAACCTCTGATTCCGACACTGAGCAAGAACTCCAACTTCGGGCAGATTTTATACCGCCGCATATTTAAAGCAATGTCACGCCTGCTTTTTAAGGCGCCAGCTTTGAGAGGTAGTCCGGATAGGAAGGACGCCCAGGAGTGCTAGCTCTTTCTTTATTGTAAGGTGACATTAAAAGAATCTTGCAAGTCTTAAAAGGTCTCTTCCCCCTTAGACTTTAGGGTCCCCAAAAACATAAGAAGGATTCCTTCTGAAATGTTTGTCGTTCCTTCAGTTGGCTCAGCTAAAAGGATCTTCCTTCCTTCCTTCCTTCCTTCCTTCCTTCCTTCCTTCCTTCCTTCCTTCCTTCCTTCCTATCTTCATCATCGTCTATCTATCTGTCTGTCTGTCTCTCTGTCTGTCTATCTATCATCAATATCTATCTATCTATCTATCTATCTATCTATCTAGGCATCTATAGGTATCTGTGTCTGTCTGTCTATCTTTCATCAATATCTATCTATCTATCTATCTATCTATCTATCTATCTATCTATCTATGCTTCTAAATTACTGTATCTTTTTCTTGATCTCGCTACCGATGAAAAAAGATTGCCAGTGGATGGTTTTGATGTGGCACAAGAGATTTTCTAGAATTATTATTATTATTTTAAAAAAAGAAACACGCTTTCATAGATGCCCAGATTCTCAAGGTAATGCTTGAGTGTGCATCTATCCATCTTTTTTTTTCCAGCCTCTGGCTAATAAACAGATTCATGGGATGTAAATAAGGGCTGACTCTGATATGCCAAGTCCATGAATAAGTGGATGAGAAAAAGCAGAAAACTCTTTTAAAAAAAACCCAAAGCTTCTCTCTCCATAATATACATTATGTACACGGCATCCAGTACATTCCATATTATTTGTTGGCAGAGATAAATTAGTCATACAATTCAGATGGACGTCAATGGTGTACAGTCAAAAGCAACAACATTCCGTAAAAAGTGTAAACTTTGGTTATCTTTGAATGGCTTCTTCCCTCACCCCAAAAACAAAATTCAATCACATCCCTTTGAATTAAACGTCTGTCGATAACAATAAGAACAATAATAAGCACCTGATAGGCAACGTAGATTGGTTTGTTGGTTTGTTTTCAACGACGGAAATTGACCAGGCTTTCTCGATTTCACGCATTCAAGAGAGACAGGTTTGGAGAAGAGAAGTTGGACATGGAAGGAAGAAGGACACGGCTAGAAGCATCTGTAAAGTGAACCTGCACTTTTCTTTCTTTTTTTTTTTTTTCAGTTGTTGACTTATGTGAGTCTCGAGTTTGACGATTTTGCACGGCGTCTTGGACAAAGCAAGGAGATTACCTCCCCGCTTTAAAATTAAAATTCCTAAAGTTTCATCTTCCTAGAGTGGAAGATCTTAAGGGTTGCGGTCTTTCGGCTTGCTTTTCATTTCTCCTTGGGCTTCTGGGAGAAGAATGAATGTCCACAGAACCGGGATGATGTGTCACCACCGGCCCAGTGTCAAACAAAGGTGAGGAACGGTGACTGAGAAGAAGCCCATTGTTGATGAAAGGTTATGGTGCAGTGCAGCTGGCCCAGTATTCTTGTGAAAATCTTGATTCCGAAATTTCCGATGAGATGGATTATTAGCTCCTTGGACCTTCCTGTCAATCGGAGAAAGAACGATTTGAGTATTGTCTTCAGCCAAGGATATTTTGCCCGAAGCGCTTTGTCGCTCGGACCGAGGAGGGGCTAAAGAAGTCGGAGTGACCGAAGACTTTGGAAGGACAGCAGGGCTGGTGACGAAACCCTCTTCAGTTTCGGCTGCTTCACTGTAGAAAGGAAGAGGAAAGTTGCCACTACGTTTGCCGCAGGATTCACAGCATAACTTTTTATAGCCCGGGATGGAGCAGTATCGAGCGAGCACTTCCATCTGGCAGAAGATCGATTTGTCTCCTTGACAAGGTTCATCTGAAAAAAACAAAAAAG